CGTGATCATCACACTATTAAGAGATTTGTGGCTGATTCAGAGCACAGACGGGTTTGTGCAGATAAAGGCACATTGAGGAATATTTCTGCCAGTTCCATGCATCAGATCAAGAGAGCAGCTGCTAAAATACCATTACAGAGCAGCAAACAGATATTTGAAGCTGCTGGTGTCTCTGGAGTCCACGGACATCAAGGTGTAGAGTCCTCCAGAGTCATGCAGCTGTGCATAAACCTTCTATTCGGCCACCACTAACCAATGCTCACAAGCAGAAATGGCTGCATTGGGCAGAAAAATACATGAAGACTAATTTTCAAACAGTCCTGTTCATGGATGAGTGCCGTGCAACCCTGGATGGTCCAGATGGATGGAGTAGTGGATGGCTGGTTGAGGGCCACCCTGTTCCAACATGGCTGAGACGTCAGCAAGGCGGTGGTGGAGTCATGTTTTGGGCCGGAATCATGGGAAGAGAGCTGGTTGGGCCCTTTAGGGTCCCCAAAGGTGAAAACATGACCTCTGCAAAGTATGTGGAGTTTCTGACTGACCACTTTCTTCCCTGGTACAGAAGGAAGAACTATGCTTTCCGTAATAAAATCATCTTCATGCATGACAATGCACCATCTCATGCTACAAAGAATACCTCTGCATCAATGGCTGCTATGGGGATAAAAGGAGAGAACGTCATGGTGTGGCCTCCATCCTCCCCTGACCTCAATCCTATTGAGAACCTTTGGAACATCCTCAAGCAAAAGATCTATGAGGGTGGGAGGCAGTTTACATCCAAACAGCAGCTCTGGGAGGCTATTCGGACATCTTGCAAACAAATTCAAGCAGAAACTGTCCAAAAACTCACAAGTTCAATGGATGCACAGTGACCCATGACCCCTAGCGCAGTCCGGTCCTAAAGAATGAGTTCAGGGAACTAGGAAGTAAGAAAAGGACCTCCAAGGTAATATTTTCAGAAATATTAACTGTGACACGCGCTACAGCAGAAAGGCAGCGGGAGATTAGAGAGGTTAATGCGTGGCTAAAGTCTTGGTGCAGGAAAGAGGGTTTGGGGTTTTTAGAGCACTGGCCGACTTTGCACTTGGGTACAACCTGTATAGTCATAATGGATTGCAGCTAAACGAAAGAGGGTCTGCTATGCAGGGGGATAGGATGGCTAGAAGGTTGGAGGAGATTTTAAACTAGTAGTGGGGGGGAGGGTCAAAGCAATCTAGAAAATGGAGATAGGATGGAAAGGAGATGGGCTTTAGCTCAGAACAAAGGGGGTGGAGATGAGGGGAGGGGAAAGCTCAGAACAGAGGAGGTATGTAATATTGATAATTCACAAAAAGTACAAAAGACTCATGCAAGGAGCCTTTTTAACAAAATGCAGAAACTAGAGGCAATAGCATACACTAAACAATATGATATAATAGGCATAACAGAAACGTGGTGGAATGAGACACATGACTGAGCAGTTAACTTAAATGGGCACACATTATTTAGGAAGGATAAGAAAAACAAGAAGCTTGGTGGGGTATGTTTATATGTCAACCATGAGTTAAAGTCAAATCTTAGGCATGTGGAGTGTGACAAGGATAATGTGGAGGCTTTATGTGTAGATATCTGCTTGGGGCAAACAAAGGGAAATCAATTATTGGTTGGGATATGTTATAAACCACCTAATGTAAATATTAATGAGGAAGAACAGCTCTTAGAGCAAATTGGGAAAGCTGCAAATCGAGATAACACGTTAATTATTGGAGATTTTAATTACCCGGACAAAAATTGGGATAGAGGGCATGGGCATACCTAGGGCATGTGGCACCCAGGGCGGGTCCTGGGTTTGGCCACCCTCAATGCCCCCCCCTTCTCCAAAAAACAAAACTACTACATTTTTAAAATGTGTTATATTTTTTGCATTTTTAAAAAAAATTATTGAACAAATTTGTAAACTTTTTAAAACCCCTGCCCCCTCTACAAAATCCCTGCACCCCCTCACACACAGTTACAGGCAGACAGTCACACACAGTTACAAGCAGTCACACGCACACAGTCACATGCCGACAGTCACACATATAGTCACAGGCAGTCATACACACAGTTTCAGTTAGAGGGTTACACACAAACACAGTCAGTTACAAGCAGTTACACACAGTCACGCACACTGTTACAGGTAGACAGTCACATATACAGTCACACACACACGGTCACAGGCAGACAGTCATACACATAGTTACAGCCACAAACACACACAGTTACAGACAGTTACACACACAGTCAGTTACAAGCAGCCACGCACAAAGTTACATTCAGTTACAGGCAGCATCACACAGTCACAGGCAGACTGTCACACACAGTCACAGACACTCACACACACAGTCACAGGCACACAGTCACACACACATATACACACAGTTACAGGTAGACAGTTACGCACACACAGTTACAGGTAGACAGTTACGCACTTACATACAGTTACAGGCAGACCGTTACACACACACACACACACAGTTACAGGTAGACAGTTACGCACACACACACACAGTTACAGGCAGACAGTTACACACACACACACACATATTTACAGGCAAACAGTTATACACACACATAAGACAGACAGTCACACACACACAGTTACAGACAGACAGTCACACACACAGTTAAAGACAGACAGTCACACACACACAGTTTCAGGCAGACAGTTACACACACACACACACACAGACAGTTACACACACACACACACACACACACAGTTTCAGGCAGTTACACACACACACACACACACACACACAGTTTCAGGCAGACAGTTACACACACACACAAACACACAGTTTCAGGCAGTTACACACACACACACTCTTATACTTACAGACAGTGTGGGCTGGAGGAGTGGATTCCCTGGCTGGAGGTGGAGGTGCAGGGATTTCTGCTTGCTGCACCTCCATGTGCCGCAGTTACAGCAGCTTGTAAGGGCTGTGTTAAGCCCCGCCCCCGCTCGCGGTTAGACCCCACCCCTTCTTCCTCCCGTGCAGCCAGTTCATCTTGCTGGTCTCTGTGTGAGCTGTGTGACACCCCAGCTGCCATGGGGCCGCCCCCTACGCCCCCCCTTAGTCCGCCACTGATAGAGGGACTAGTACTTCAGCAAGGGGAATCAGGTTTTTGAATGTTTTAAATGACACCTTTATGTCACAACTGGTACAAGCACCAACTAGAAAGCATGCTTGTCTGGATCTCGTTATAACAAACAATGTTGATCTTTTAACCAACATTCAAGTAGGGGAGCGTTTGGGAAATAGTGATCACAATATGGTAATTTTTTAAATAAACTCAAAAAAGCAAAAGCAAGTGGGGTATACTAAAACATATAATTTTTAAAAAGCCAATTTCAATAAGATTAGGGCAGCTGTACAACATATCGACTGGCATAAACTCCTTAGTGATAAAAACACTGAGGATAAATAGAAACTATTCAAACAAATATTAGAAAGGTACATTTCTCAGTAAGTACCACTGGGTAATAAATATAAAAGAAACAAATTAAAACCAATGTGGCTTAGTAAAGAAGTAGAACAAGAGATTAAAAATAAGAAAAGGGCATTTAAAGCATTTAAATCAGAAAAATCAGAGGCATCCTATTTACGATATAAGGAAGCCAATAACGCTTGCAAAAAGGCAATTAAAGTGGCCAAAGAATGCAAAACAAACCCCCAAAATTTTTTCAAGTACATAAATTCTAAAAAAACAAAAAAATGAAAGTGTAGGTACACTGGAAACAGAGTTGGGTTTATTAGCTAATGAAGACCAGAAAAAAGCAGAAATTTTAAATAACTATTTTTCTTCAGTATATATTAATGAGGATCCTATGGCAAGAGATATGCAAATGATTGCTGCAAAAAACTTGCAGATACCTTGTGATTGGATAACTCAAGACAAAGTGCTACAGCTATTAAAGAAAATTAATGTAATTAAAGCTCCGGGGCCTGACGGTATTCACCCACGAGTACTTAAGGAGCTAAGTGGGGAAATAAGTGAACCTCTGTATTTAATTTTTCACGATTCTTTTGTTTCAGGTATTGTACCAGAGGATTGGACGAAGGCAGATGTTGTTCTTATATTTAAAAAGAGTTCAAAATCCTTGCCTGGGGGGGTGTGGCCTGACTGCAGAGCTGAGAGGATGCTAACCCCAGCAGCTCCTGCTGAATGAAGGAGAAAAGGCTGAATTTCACTCACAAAAAGCAATTACCCGACACAGGAAAGCCACCAGACAACAGCTGACAACGAGGTTATCATAATGACACCATCCAAGCGACATTCTGAGCCACCCGAAACCCCCATGAGGCCTACAGGCAAGGCAGGTGCAGGAGAGATGGCCGCTCTCAACACGCTGAGACCCTGAATCCGGGCCTGCGTTCCCCCCACATGATCCCCAATCGAAGCAGCGAGATCGCTACATCGAAGCAGAAACCTGATCCTACTTCCAGCGAGGCCCTCAAGATGGCGGATGCCCGCTGCGCTGCCAGCCTACACAGCGCATGGAAGAAAACGTAGCTGCGGATGAACACAATCTTCGCCTCCTTTTGGGAGAAATTGGAAGCCCACATGCGACCCCCAACACCAGAGACTCTGCCCAATAACCTTCCAAAGAAAACGCAGGAGATCCAGAGTAGCAAAGCTATGACCCCACCTAATGGTACACCCAGGAGAGACCAGCACCAGCAAGAGGTCCCCTTAGGGCCAAAGCCCGGGAGCCTAGTAAAGAGCAGTGACAGACAGAGGCTTCTGAGGCCCTGCTGGCCCCGACGAGAAAACGACCAAAACCACCCCTCCCGTGTGCTGAAATACGGCACACACCTCGGAGGGACATGGACAGTGGGAAGCACCTGGGGAAACGACGGGGTAAGAGGCTCAAGGCGGCAGAACATCAGAAGGGCACTCCCGGAGATGGAGCAACCCACGCTTGAACCAAGGGGCATACCGAGCATGAAGGAATGCAAAGAAGACTTTGTGCACCCCATCAAGCTCACAACCTCACAATCTTGGGACTCTGCCCCACCTCACCTACAAGGCACCGAGCAGAACGCAACAATCTGCATGGGAGCGCACTCAGCCACTACATGGTGTTGGATGACCGACAACCAGTGATGAGACTCTGTACCAGGCAAAGTGCCAGCTGCATATTTCCTAATTCAAGTTACATAACCCTTGTTTAATGTAGGCTACAGTGAATCTATTGATCTTTAGTAAGGGAGGATCATGGGGAGAGGGTACTACTATTATTTTCACCTATTTGCTTAAATGTCAACTGAACTCACACAGGGCATGCCACACATAGAATCGCATGTACACTCACATGCTTCTAAACCCTGAAAGAAAGTCTCTACAAGCATTAATCCATGTACACACCTCATTCTCACAATGAACACGTTCCTGTGTAATAATCTACAAACCTACTCATGCAGACATCGACCTTATGTACCTAGTGTTTAAGCATTTATTTTTCTCTGAATGTGTGCATTTCTCTGAAGCATAGCAAATAAGATGTTGAAATATTGCCTGCGATCCAAGTTAACTTTATGTGTTACCTATTATTAGTTTATAGCCAGCAAGGCTCAAGATAAGATTGTTTATGTATCACAAAAACAAAAATTGTGCATCTACTCCTGCCACTGTTTAACCTGTATACAACGTGTGCGCTGTTGTGGCGCTTGATTTCGCAATGTACTTCCCTGCACAACATAAATAAAGAATTTTTAAAAAAAAAATCATTGCCTGGAAATTATAGACCTGTGAGCTTAACTTCTGTAAATGGGAAAATATTTGAAGGGCTCTTAAGGGATAATATTGAGGAATTCATTGGGAAGAACTTTGTTATAAGCAATAATCAGTATGGTTTTATGAAACATAAGTCATGTCAAACTAACCTAATTGCATTCTACGAAGAAGTAAATAGAAGTATAGATCAGGGTGTTGCAGTGGATGTGATCTACTTGAATTTTGCCAAGGCATTTGATACGGTTCCTCACAACAGGTTAGTGTTCAAACTAAAAGAAATTGAACTAGATAAATATTCTTGTTCTTGGGTAGAACATTGGCTTAAAGATAGAGTACAACATGTTGTCATTAATGGTAAATTTTCAGGCTGGACAAAAGTGGTAAGTGGTGTCCCTTGGGTTCTGTTTTGGGACCACTTCTATTTAACATATTTATAAATGATCTTGAAATAGGCATTGAAAGCCATGTATCAGTGTTTGCAGATGATACAAAACTTTGTAAAGTAATAAAATGTGAGCAGGATATTGCTTTGCTGCAGAGGGATTTGGATAGATTGGGGACTTGGCACTAAAATGGCAAATTAAATTTAACGTAGAGAAATGCAAAGTTATGCACTTTGGGGTTAAGAATGCACAAGCAATTTACACCATAAATGGTAGTGAACTAGGGATAACACACGAGAAGGATTTGGGAATAGTTATAGACAACAAATTAGGCAGCAATATGCAATGTCAATCTGCAGTTGCTAAGGCCAGTAAGGTTTTGCCATGTATAAATTGGGGCATAAATTCTCTGGATGAAAATATAATTTTGCCTCTTTCTAAATCGCTGGTAAGACCACACCTTGAATATGCTGTGCAATTTTGAGCACCTGTTCTAAAGAAAGATATCATGGCACTAGAAAAAGTCCAGAGACGAGCTACAAAATTGATAAAAGGAATGGAGCATTTTAGTTATGAAGAAAGGTTAAAAAATTTAATCTGTTTAGTTTGGAAAAACGGCGCCTGAGAGGGGATATGATAACATTATACAAATATATTCGGGGCCAGTACAAACCTTTATCTGGAAATCTATTCATAAACAGGGCAATACATAGGACCCAATGTCACATATTTAGGCTGGAAGAAAGGAGATTTCATCTAAGGCAAAGAAAAGGTTTTTTTTACAGTAAGAGCTATAAGGATATGGAATTCTCTGCCTGAAGAGGTGGTTTTGTCAGTCATTACAGATGTTTATACTGCAATTGGATAAATACTTGCAAAAACATAACATACAGGGATATAATTTCTAATTAGTGGGGTAATAGCTGCTTGATCCAAGGAGACATCTGACTGCTATTTTGGTGTCAAGAAGGAATTTTTTCCTAGTTTGTGGCAAAATTGGAAGCGCTTCAGACTAGGTTTTTTGCCTTCTTTTGGATCAACAGCAAAAACATACGTGAGGAAGGCTGAACTTGATGGACGCAAGTCTCTTTTCAGATATGTAACTATGTAACTATGTAAGTTGTGAAGCTGCTATCAAACAAGAGGAACCTATATTAAAATGTAACGTGACCTGTTAAAATGTTTAAAAAGTTAAAATGTTGTTATAAGTTTGATTGAAATAGCTTTTGATTTCAGTAAATATGCTGCAAACACAACAAATGACAATTTTCAGTTTTTTACAACCTATAAAGTGTTTTGAAACTTACTGTGCGTAATAATTTGGAACAGTGCATTGTAAGTTTTTTATGTTTAAAAAAAATACTGTTATCGTTAGGAGGTTTGTTCAATAAAATTTAAATTGTACTCTTAATAGTTGATAACATGAGAATTATGCTGACTGTTATTTACATCAATTATTTAGGTAAATGAGAAAAATATGATCTGCGTAATAATTTGGAACAGGGTGTAGGCTTTACCGTCTTTCCCAGATAATAAGACCAGATCTAATATTAATTTCCCCCTGAAAATAAGCCCTAGTGGGGGGTTTATATATGAAAAACAGTAGCAAGCATGTGCTAGAAAGCAGGTTTACGTTCGAGGGAATTCCCCCGAACATAGACCAGTTCACTAGGGCATGGAGTCCGCAAATCTATGTTCGGGGGAAAAACTTCCCTGAACATAGATTAGCTTACTAGCGTATGGAATCCCTTGAATCTATGTTCGGGGAAAATTCCCCGAAGCTAGATTAGCGAACCTGCGACTAGCGACTCTAGATTAGTGAACCTGCGACTAGCAACTGGGGCTTATTTTTCAGGTAGGGCTTATATTACGAGCATTCCGAGGGGGATATCTTATTTTCAGGGAAACAGGGTAGATAGTGCAAGTAGTATCTATGGTTTCATTTTATATTATTAATACATGTATATTCTATTTTTTAGCATTTTGGAGAAAGGGTTAATTTGTATAAAAAGCTTAAAGAGTGCCTCATATTTAAAATATATTATACTATCCCATTCAGAGTAAGCTAATGTTTTGTTTTTTTTGTTTGTAATAAGGGATTTCGTAACTGCTAAAAAGCCCCATAAATGTCCTTAAAGGGGCACTGTAAGCACAAAACCAATGTTTGTTTATTGGAGTGTTTTTTTGTGTACAAATGCAGTCTCACTGCTCAGCTCTCTGCTATTTAGGACTTAAAGCATTTTGTTTAGGTGGCCCTAGCCACAACTCCCCATATTGCGTTAGTGTTAGATAAGATCCATAAGCCTTGCCTGATTATAGTTTGGAAGAGGCACTATCTTAAAGCAAATACTACCATCAAATATTACTGTGCTTAATATAGCTGTTTCTAAAGATCACATCTATTTAATGCTGCAGCTACCATTCCAGATGATGATGTCACTTTCATGTCATAAAAGGATGTTCATAAAATGGAATGTTTGCTGCTATGGTCTACAGCAGACATGATGGACATAGATGGAGATTTTTTACCTCCAGGCATTAATCATAGAAACATGCAACGAGAATTAAGTACCACGGCCTGCGCCATCTTCAATGAGCTGAGGCTGGAGGGCAAACTTTGTGATGTAGTTATTAAGGTGGATTCTTATGAGTTCAATGCCCACAAGAACATTCTCTGCACCTGTAGTCCTTACTTTAGGTCAGTATGTACAAGCAGATATTCTTGTATTTGTTTCTTTTAGAGATTCAATGCCTCAATGCAGTCACTCATGCCATGTTATGCCATTATTGTCATTCAGAAATGTAATTATCAATATTATAAGTAGAGAGGGCAGTTGGCAAAAGCTAAGGACATAGGGGTGCACTTCATAGAACGATGGGAAGTTAGTGTAGATCTGCATAGAGGTAAAACTGGGAGAAGCCTTGCCATGTCCCACAGAGTTCTATAGGTACAATTTGATACTTTCCTGGGTTCTGCAGTGTGTAGGGTGTAATGATTCTCTTTTTCCATTTTGTTAATCGATAAAAAATTGACTTAACATTTCTATTTTTGAAAGCTTTCTTACTTTACATATTTTCAAACCTGCCTAAAACTTTTGCACTCTCCTACATATACAAATCAAGAATATGTTTGATATATATGTAAACAGGTTGTTGATCCAAGCAGAAATCTGATTCCCATTGTGGAGTTAAGATGGATTTTTTCCCCTTTTTGTGGCATAATTTGACTACATTGGGGAGAGGGATTGCCTTCTTTTGGATCAACAGCATAGAATATGGGCTTCAGAGTTGAACTTGATGGACTTTAATCTTTTTTCACTGTAGACAACTATGTAACTATGTATGAACATTTTTTGTGATTTGTGACGCCGTAAGCAAAAATATAATTTGTTGCCCCCATGCGACACAATTGCACTCATGGTGTGACAGTACCTTAACCACACACTCCCACACATTGTCACATCATAATGTCCCTCCCCTTTGGAACATTTTCAATAAAAAGAGTTCTATGTTGCAATAAAGCCCAACTATTTTCTGCACTTAGGATGGCCGAGCATCATTGGAATTGGAATTCGCAAACATCAAGGCCATTTACAAAGTTAAAGGAACACTCCAAGCACCATTACATCTTAGTGATGCGCCCTCCCCCTCCCCCCCCCCACCCCCATCCCAACCCCCACCCTCCACCCCCATTGTAAGGAAAAGATTCAAGCAGTGCAAATATAACTTCACAGGCTTAGAAAGACATAATAACATAAAAAGAATATGACAAAATAGTTTTGCTGACTATGTTATACAAGATTGTTGCACTTTTTTAAAATCATGGTGAGATGCTATGGACAGATAGAGAGATAGTGCACAAACAAAATAAACATTTGCTGGCTATTTCAATGCTTCTTGTGGCTTATAAGGTATTCTACAGGCTAGCTACATCTGTGAGGTAAAAGTGAGTAATGTAGCTAGAAGACAGGCTCGGCATAATAAAATGGAAACAAACATGCTGGACTACAGTAGAATACAAAAGAGCTTTGATACCACTGGGCACTAATAAAGATGACTAATTTTATAACAGGGTGGGATCAATAGGCTAGCAATAAGATTCATTAAGATTCATATCTGCACCGGTCCACTAAGCTGAGGCCCGCCAATGGTG